GAGTGAAATGAAGTTGTTGAATATTTGATATGTTTAATCTGATTTAGGGGATAGTTTTGGATAATTTGTATTGAAAGGCAGACTGGAATTTTAAGTGGGAAGTCTTAATAGATCTACTTAACTATTATTTTAGAAAAAATATCTTTGTTTGTAAGAAATGGTGTCTTTGTCAATTGCCGTCTTATAACTCCAACGACTTTCTTGCATATTTTCCCACTTTTTATGGCAACGACATTCTTAATGGTTTAGGGCCCTCCATCCCACTTAAGATGTCCATCGTCCGAATGCCTTCGCGGGTATGATCCCTAACTAAATGCTTTTTTGCTTTATGGCACTGGCAATGCCACCGCAATATCAATATCAAGTTTATTTTAGCTTTTTAGCATATTTTAGTGTCTTATCAGCGACCGCCGATGGCAGCAAATGAGTGTGAGTAAGCGGTGAAGTGGGGAGTGACTGGAAAGGGGATGGTGAAGGGGGAAGGGGGTTCCGCTGCCAGTTGGCAACATGTTGCTGCTGCAAGAACAAGACTCCATTGTAGGTTTCGCCTGGGTTGACAGTCATTTAGATTTATGGCTGATTGTCTGCAACGGCAGCGCCTTTTTATAGCCAACTTGCTTTGGTTGTTGTTGCCTTATTTGCACGCAGAGTCAGCAATCCAATTTTTGCATGTTTGTTGTCGTTGTCGTTGTCTTTTCTGTTGTTGTTGTTTGTGTTGTTTGTGTTGTCGTCGTACGCAGGTGAGTACAAGCCGCAAATGCAACAACCGCGAAACTTGTTTAGCAACATTGGCCAATTTGCATGTGTCGCACTCGCTGGCAAGACTTTAAACACGGCTCTTGGACTTGGAGTTCCCAGTTTAAGTCGCAGTCGCAGTCGCAGTCCTGATGTCTTTCTGATATTAGATATCCCCAATGCGATAAACGTCCGCCGATCGACGACGATGGACAATCGAATCGAGAGTCGAGACTTGAGAGTCTCGGCTTTATTGATTTAAATGCCGCGCATCTTCTGTGATTCGAGGATCGCACAGCAAGTCGCCGATTGAGATTAAGCCGTTTGTCAACTTGTCATAATTGCCGGGACTTCGGTCTCCGGATTGCGGACTCCGACTCCAGTCTGCGGACTCAGCGGCGCCGATCTCTTTGGGGCTTGTTAACAAATTATAAAAACTTTTTCGCCCAACTCGCCGCCGCCGAGTGGAAAATCCGAAACGCCAACGTTGTGGCAACTGACTGCAAACGATGACTCAAGGCGATTCTTTGAAGATTTTTCATAATTTCCTCGCCGCGCGTAGGCAGCTGAAACTTAAACTCAAACTCAGACGCAAATGCAGGCCCAAAACGAAACCCAAATGGCGATGGCTGGCGGCCATGTCTGCCACAGCAGCAACTTGCAACTAGCAACTTGCAGCAGCAACATCATCAAGTGCAAATATGCAAATCTCAGCCGACGACTTGCTTAAGGATAAATGACAAAGACAAAGACAAACCTCTTTTGGGGCCAGCCGGAAATTTCAGATTTGTGTAATTAAATACGTATTAGCAGAGGGAAACTTGTTGATCTTCCCAGTTAACTCATTTTGCCTAACTGTAAACGGTTTTTCCGGCAGATTAAGAACGGTTAGTTAAACTATCTTCCAAATATTAAATTGGAAAAACAATTGAGTTACAAATCTATACACCGAAAACTAAGTCTTTATGCTGGCGCTTTTCTCGCTGCTTTTCCCATAACTTGTGAATCAAATTTCCATGTTGATTGACCTCTCGAGAATTGCATATCCTCCTCCGGTCACACCCTCCTTTGGCTCCTTTCTCCATTTCTCCCGCGGTTCTCCGCTTCCTCCTCCCGGCACACATTGCATTTCCAATGCAATTTGCAAACCTTTTTCTCACCAAGCTCAGCTCAGCTCAGATTTGCTCCGAGCTAACCACCACGAACGAATATAAACGGGCTGCAGAAAAACTTTTCGGAAAATCCAGTAACGCCTTCTCAAAAAAACGAAATAGCGAAATAACCATTTTCCAGGCGCACTGCATTGCATTGCATTGCATGCAAAAATGTGGCCAACAGCAACGGCTTTAAACGCCAACTGGCATAACTGCAACATTTCGGATGCAAGTTTGCATTTTACGCGGCTGCCAGGCTTAATTTTCCTTTATTTTTAATATCACAGCCAAAGAGCTGTGCAACGGCAACAAAATGTACATAAAACCCACGGCTATATCAAGTACGGCCGGCAACAACCACACACAGATTGGACCAAACTCAGCCTGGCTGGCTGGCTGGCTGCTTGGCTGTTTGGCTGACTGGCTGGCTGTCAAGCTGGGTCCCAGATCTCCATCTCCATCGCCATCGCCATCTCCAGGAAGCCAGAAATAACAAAAATCTTTGCGTAGGCAAAACTTGGCTCCGACTGCCCAGCTGACCATGTCCAACTCGCCTTTCGGCCCGATGTTTCTGCTGTTCTATTACTGTGTTCTGTGTTCTCTGTTCTGTTCTGGCCTGGCCTGCAAGACTGTTGTTTTAAATAATTAATTATTGTTTAGTTGGCAAATAGCCTGCTCAAGATCGAATGGCCCCGGCGAGGAGAACTGCAGCCTGGCTAGTTGCAATTAGTAGTAAAACGCTTTTCCCCAGGGAGTGGGCCTATATTTGCTGGGGAACTTGAGGTGAATGGGTGCTCATCTGGGTATTTCGAGAAAAATTGTGTACCAGGTGGAAAACATTTAGGAGGTCATTCAAATGCATTTATTATTTATCAAGCTTGATAAAATAGCACATCTTAAATACTTTCCAGGCTGTTGAGTTCGTAATTCCAATGACTGGTTAAGCAGCTAATTGGGGTATCAAAACTTTCACAATTCGAGTTATAGTTCTGTTGGTAGCTAGTGATACTGGGAATACATTTATGGCTTGCAACCTTTTGGCAGCAAACTAGCAACACCTCCACCCACATCGAACTGACTTTCAATCACATCCCTGCCCCAAACTCTGTGCCAAACATATCGGTGCTAGACGTGGATAGATGGAAAGACCCCTTCATTATCCAGCCTGCAGCTGGGAGCAAATGGAGATCTCGTTGAGTGCCGGGCGATTGGTAGGGCAATCATGTGATTGAACAAATAACATGCTACGGAGCTGCCACAGCACTTGACTCCGTTTCTTTCGCCCGGGAAAGGAAAGTAAGCCGGAGACCGCTACTTAGCCCAATTTTCGCATAATGCACATGAGAAAATTGCACAAGCGCCGAAAGCCAGTCAGCCAGCCAAGCAGGCCCACAAAAAATGCTGGCAGAAATTGCCAAGACAAAGGCGAAACAAAGTCTGCCACCCCCGAAGTCACAAAAATAAAAAAGTGCAGTGAGTCCAGTTAGCTGGAAAAACGCTCCCCAGAGTGGCATTAGAAGGTTGCCAGGCTGTCAACCCTGCAACATTGTGTCGAGGGCGATAATTTTTATGACCCCGGCAGATTCTCAAGCCGACTGCGATTGACCCACCACCCAAAAGCTGCTGGCTGACTGGCTGGTTGGATGGCTAACTGGTCACACACCACCGTTGAGTGAGGAGCAGAAATCCTGTCGTGTGCCAGTGCAGATAATTTTATACAATTTATTATATCAAACGAGCGACGTCGCGTGCAACACTTGCCACGTCACTTGGACTGGGGCACAGATACTTGGCCAGCCATACGAGTGTAGTGCCTGCCACAGCCTCAGGTTGCGTGTCCCGAAATCCGAATTCAAAAATCCGAGTACGAATCCGAATCCAAATCCGAGTTGCGTGTGTCCGCCGATATCGGTGGACTGGGAGTCGTTGGCTTGGCATTAAAAAGCGTTTAATAAGCATTAGATTACAACATTCTCAGCGTTGCAGGGGTGTGACGGCTTAAGCTCATTTAGATATATGTTTTATCGGCGGATTTGACGAGCCATGAAATCGCCAAAGGGCTCAATTCAAAAGCGCTGCTTAACCCCACCAGCCACAAAGCCATTTTGCCTCAGTTTTCTTTCCCAACTCCCCATCTCGACCGCAAAAGCCACAAACTCGATTCTTTGTTTGATTTTCTTCTTGTAATCAGCTGTGGGATTCGAGCGGGGAAAACTATGCGCGGTTGATTAGTCTTTCGTGGAGAACGAAACCAACTGCAAGCTCATTACTCATTTATCTTGAGTTCGGTCTTTGGTTTTCGGTGAGTGATCTCTCCCGATATCCTCCCTTAGGGCCAACATTTTTTGTTTCGGGTTACCCTCATCCAAATCTCTTCCACACATGCATTTTGTTCACTTTGGTTTTTGGGTTCACTGTGTAATTCGATCTGTCTATTCTCTGGAAATTGCATTTAGTTTTCCCAAATGTGATCCCTAAGTGGGTTCAGTGGGCCTAAACTCTCTTTTTTTTTTAGTAATTTGATGATAAAGGAGGTTGCTTTTGGCTGGTGAGATTATTTTGATACATTTTGAGGGATATTTAGAACTCAGATAAAGCGATCCCCGACCTAAAAGACCTCTCTAACCTTTTTGAACCTGCAAAAGTCTTCTAAAGATTTCCGTAATACGGTAACGACTTCGATGCATTAGCAGACCAAACATCCAGCTATATCTATCTGAATGCCTGCCCATTATGTGCATCTCTAATGAGAAGAGAGAGAGAGGCATGAATAATGGGTCTATGAGCAGAGTCGATGTCGCGTTGTCTATAAAGCGGCCTTAAAATCCATTAGCGAACGTTGCAGGCATAAATAAACCGCAGTGCCTTAATTTCACTTTGTTGTTGTGTGTTGCAACCAAAAATAGCCAAAAGATGGAGTCGACGAAAAAACGTAAATGGAAACAAATGACGCTAATAAATAAATGGGGAGTGCGGCCATCGAGGGAGAACTCATATGCGGCCGCAAAGGATTTTGGCTCCGCGAGGAAACTGTTTGTCATATTGCCCTTCAAATGGTCTCTCATATACTCTCTGTATCTGCAACTTGGAGTTGCATCTGTTGACACTTACCCTTGAGCGCTGCAACTTGTGTTAATCCATTTAATCCCGAGAGGAGCAGCATCAGTGGGAATATGCATATCGCCCGTCGACTCCGATCGACTTTGATTATTTTTAGCCGGTCCCCAACGCTTCGATTGTTTCTGTGTCGGCGTTTGATCTCGCTGCTGCTTTTATTTTCATTTTTATTTTTATTTTTATTTTTAATCTTAATTTCGCTTTTGCTTTCGCTGGCTAAATGCCGCGGTATGCCACGCATCTCGCACAAATGCATTTTGTCAAGTATTCTCGTTCGGCTTCCTTTAATTGCACACCATTCAAAATAGATTTGCACTCATTTCGCGGTATATTCTCGCTATATCTTTGTTTTGGCACTCACAAAATCAGTATTTCGAGTTATTTTCTTTATTCACTAGAATCTGAGTCCATGGCGGCGCCACTAAGTCCGATGCCCGGAACGACGCGGAACCCGACCGATCGAACGTGTGAATCCCCCGTGGCACATGCGAACCGCCTGAGAAACGAAGTGAAACTGAACCGGCGCCCCGGCGGAAACGCTTGGCAGTGTTGAGGAACATGCTTAGGAACATGTTGCGGAACACAGCTGCCGAGAACAGCCGACTGCACTCGGCTGGCCACTTCGGCTCGACTTCGGCTTCCACTTCGTGCGAGCCCTCGGGTGTTCCGAACTCCACTTTGTGCCGCTTGTTGCATGCTGTGGAGCGCGTTCGAGGTTTGTTTACTGCAGCCTCGGTTCTTTCGGCAACATTTTGGATTGGAACGGTGCGAATGGCATTATCATCATGTTGATAAGGCTGAATCATTTACCGTTTACAATGTGCTACGATTCAAGACGCAATTCACCGTATTCACGGTTATAAAAATTCAAAAAATTCCTTGTTTAATAATATGCGCCTTAATTTTTTATCTCTAGGAAAAATTGCCCATTTTGGTTATTAATTTCTTAATGTGAAGTGACAAAAGCAAATGGGTATTTCCTTTGATATAATTTATGGATGGGAATGAACGTAGATATTTTCAAACATTTGCATTGCAATGTTGATAACGATGGCTTTAAAAACCTTGTTTTTTTCTTGGGGTCATAAAAAGATTGTGTGTTAAAAAAAATAATTGATATGTCAACGCGAGTCATTTTAAATTTATTTAAATGTGACTTAAGCAAACGCAGATAATCCGCCAGCTTATTTGATTGTTTAGTGCCATAAACAGTTTGATTTATTACGAAGACACAAGAAATTCACATTCAAATGGACTTTAATGCGGTGCCACATCAATTTCTCTCTTCGAAATGTTTACCATCCAACGCTTTTTTATGGTTTTTGATCATTTAACTCTTTTTCAGGTTGTCAAGTCGACAAATTGCCAACCTTTGTGCCGCTTAGCTGCGATAGTTTCCATCCAAATCCGAAAACATTCGAGCTTGGATAATCCCTACTTGTTGCATTTGATTGCCCCCTTGGCTCCATTGTTAACCCTCCTCCGGTGGAAGACGCCTCGGAGGGGCGACCATTTGCTATCTAATCTGCTCGAGTGCCGCACTCACTCTCCAGCTGTTAGCTCATCTATTTCCAAACTGCAATAAAGCCAGACACTCGGTTCTAGCCGATCCGTTGCACAATGCGATGAATAGAAATCAAAGTGGAGACCCGGTTCTGGGACACTGTCCCTATATCTTCGACATTTCGGACGCCTTTGCTCCGTTACCGGCGCGCTAATGAATTTCGAAATCAATTGAATGGCCAGCCCAGACGATATTGTATTAATTTATCAAAGTGCATATCCGAAAGGGCTTTCCTCTATAAATCGCTGCCTAATTTCCCAGCGTTTGTTAAATAATCAATAACTTTTCCACCAGGTAGAGTGATTCCCCCGACTTTGGTCGAGTGTGAAGTCGGTTCATTAATGCCGGTGCCCAGAAAAGATACAGATACACTGGCCAGCCGACTCCTCGACGAGGAAAGAAGTGTAAAATAAAGGTGTGTATCTTTTCCATAAAGGAATTGTGCGTGCATTTCGGAGCGGGCAGGTGTGGATTCCCCATCTCCAAATGCATCTCACAATGTGCATTGTCTTTGCGAGGAAGAAAGGTCAAAGTGCGTTTGTCGCTGGCTATATTTGTGTGCCCGCTGCCTTCTCAAGTCTCCGATTCTCGGTTCTCAATTCTCGATTCCCTGTTCCCTGTTCCCGGTTACCTTTTATAGAGGCGAAGAATGCAGGTAGAGCCGGAGAGGGAATTTGTGGCAGGTAAACCATATTTCAAATGCTGATAATTGGCCAATTTACAGCCAGGGCGAGTTGCTCTGCTTGAAAGGCGAGATATCCGAGCCCGGTTGCCACGCTTCATTAGCACTCCGCTGAAGTTGGGCAACAGCGCAGGGATCGTGAGTAGGGAATAGTATTAAAATATATAAAACAAAATAGAAGCAAGGGACTCTAGTAAAAGTAATGGGAGAACTTAGACAGTTATCACTTTAATCAGAATTTTTAATGTGTAATACCTCTTTTGATCTATTCACTGGAGCATAGCTCTTATAACCTCTACTAAATAAACTACATATTTACACCTAAGAAGGCCTGAGTAAGTCCATGACCTCAGTCAATGGCCAAGCTCAGAAGTTTGGCAACACGGCAGTGCATTCTGAATTATCTAGGCAGAAATGTTGACATTGCCTTTGTCATGTTTGTCCCTATCTCTGTCCCTCTCCCACCGCCTCCACCCCTCCCTGTCGCTCAATCTACTGACTGACTGTTTGTCTGTCATGTCGGTCGCTTTAAGTCTTGTTAATGACATGTAAGTTGCGTCTCAATTGCGGATTTGCGAGCTTCCCAAAACGAAATGAAATGACATTTTGATTGTCAAGCCCAAGCCGAAAAAGATGAGAGGAAAAAGGGAATCACGAAACTTATAAATGCACTTTAATGTTCGTGTTTAACTTTATTGGAAGGATGCGCTGCCTTCTTTTCTCCGGACATTTCCGCGCTCAAAAGTAAACAAATTACGTATACGTGCACACTCAAGATAATTGAAATTAGCGACTGTGACAGCATGATTACCTTCCCCAACATCTACAGGGAACCGCCCAGGCCACAAATCTCATGGACAAACACATGAGTTGAGGACCGAGATTCAGATACACCGCAAAAAGATACAGATACACACGCACGTACCCGAATCCGAATGCGAAGACTCCAAACGCCCACTCGAAGAGCCAAACCCCTATTGAGTGGGTTTTTTGGACAGGCCGCTAGTGTGGATGCTTCTGCCATCCTCTACACTCGAAAAAACTGATAATAACTCTACTCCTTCATGGTGAAGTAGAAGCAGTATAACCATTCGATTCATATAAACCTGTGGTATCTTTTTAATGTATTTTATTTTGAATATTTATTAACCCGTTCTTTTTTCGAAGTGCATCAATACGATTGAGTCTCCCCGAAAACTGAAAACCCAACCCAGAACACATTGAGATTGTGTCTGAGGTTTTGTACAATTGCTGCATATATGATAATGAGCAGGAAATGAGTTGAGTGTGAAATTTATGGGCAGGAGAGTGCCGTTCTATGATTTCCACAATGACTTATGATTGTAATTAAAAAATCTCCCGAGTTGTATATAAAATATTACGCCTTTCAAAGGTGTCGGGTTGAAAGTGTAAATCCATCCCTTTCACACATCATTTATTAAACAGACACTCTAATCCAGTCGGTCCTAAAAATATGCACAGATGGCACTCAAAACGAAAAAGCCACATCTCTCCCATAAAACTGTAATCCCATTAGCATAAACTAAATACAACAAATGAAATTAAAAGTCAATAAAAGTTTAACTAACTCGAACAATAAAAATCAATGACTACTTTCCAATGGCCATAAAACAAATCAAAAAAAACAAAACAACAATTGCAGGAGTTATAAGGATATGGCCAGCATAATGGCACACAAAAAACGATTGTTTTTGTGTTTAAATACAAATTAAACAAGCGAATGGTAATTAATCTGGACTCTCAAAGTATTTAATTTGAAACATTAGTTGCGATAACCAGTACTGAATTTTGTACAAAATATACAAAGTTAAAATCGCACAATGGATGTATTTAATACATACTATAAAGATCAAACTTGTTTTAATACTTCTATGCTAACTATCAACTAACGACCCCATTTACCCTGTATTATGCGAAATTAGAGCACATTTATTCGCAAATGTTTCGTAAAATTTGCATTTGCTTGGTTTTCATTTGAAATCGGAACTGGAAATGCACGGGACGATAACTGCTTATTAACATTTTGTTGCTTTTATGGCTTTTAATTAATATTTTCAGTAGTTCGCCGCCGATAAAGACCACCGAGCGAGACGGCAAGAGGGGAGAGAGATAGCGATAGCGATAACTCTTCATGCATTCAGTCGTGCATTCAAGCTTTTTGTTTGAGTGGGCGTGAGTATTCCATTTGAATGGTTTATTTGTGTGGCGCTTTGTTGTTTGGGGAACTGTTTCGTAATCAAGATAATCATAGAGTGGATTCATTAAAATCGAAATATGAGCACCAACAAAAACAAAAAGCCAACGACGCTTTTGAAGCTGCTGGCGGTCCCTCAAAAACCCAACAATCCCCCGCTTTTTCAGTGTGTGGCAAATAGTTTTGTAGATTTCTATCGAAAAAATGTTTGTTGCTTTTCGGTTTCCATTTTTTTGTTGTTGTTGTCTTCTGGTAGCAGAAAATAAACAGCAGGCGACCACCGCCTATGGGCATAATTAATTACATATTTCAATTGTGCGACACTGGGGATTACGAAATTGTTCGAATTGTCATTTGTTTGTTTTTCTGCTTGCCCTTTTCATATGTTGTCGTTTTTTTTTCGATTGGTTCGAGTACCATTGAGTTACGAGTGAAAAGTTCATCGGGCCTTAGATGTAGCTAATCCCATAACAAGCCTGTTCGATCCCAGCTATTTCTAATCACTTAATACCCTCCAATAACCCGTGGTTAAAGCTCCAGACGGCCGGTCAATTTAAGAACCATCTATCATTAAATAATTTGTTAAATTTCTGCCAAACTAACAGCGCCACGAAGACCCTCGGGAACCGCAGTTTGGCCTTTTCGACGTTCTTTTTCACTTTTAATTAGCTGTGCAGCCGATAAAAATGCGCTGAAAATTAAGCGAAACGGCTCCGCTAACAACAATAACGAAGGGAACCGTTCAGGGACGGCGGAAGGGGGTTCAAGATACCCGGAGAAGGGGATCACATCACCAAGCCAGCGAAAGATTCGCACGCAGAAAGATTGGGGAAAGGGATGAGTGAGGGGCTCAGAGGAAGAATTGCAGAAATAGAATTAACGTGATCACTGAAAAACTACATTTAACTTATAGAATTAAAAGGTAAATTGAAAAATATGAGGATGTATTATCTATATATAAGTGGTGAAACTTCATTAACAGCTTTCTTTTTTGCTACATTGTATTTTGTGATTTCTTTTAGCGACTGCCCACCGTAGCCATCTGAAAAAGAGGGACAGATTTCAACAGTGCCGTTGGCGATCGCAGAGGCGCTGGCGAAATGATCGCGGCTGAATGGTTAGTACGTGATCGGTTCATAAAACTAAAAGCAGACATAAACTGATAATTTGAGAATTTATAAAAAAGAGGAGATTCAGACATTGGAGTCTTATGGGTTTCGGGCGATTGATCGACTTGAGTAGCCCAAACACAGACAGGAAGCTCCAACAATCAATAATGATGATGATTATGATGATAATAATGATTGTGATCTCTAAGTTTTCTTGGAAGATTGAATCAGGGGCAGATCGCAGAAAAGGGTTGCTTGATCTGAAGCTTATAATCTATTATCCAAGACACCCACGATCCCAAAAATTAATACAAAAGAATAATCAAAATGTTTAAATAAAGGTGAAAGGAAAAATTAATTAGCAAAATTTGTTTAATTGTAGATTGCCTAACAATGAGCGAGAGATCCCCTAGAAAATATATTGGTTCTTTCTCTTTTTTTGATTATGCTGACTATTTTAAATGCCTCCGTGGGACTTAATCCTCTCGAGGCGAAAATACCTTACAGAAAGCTGTAAACCTCGAAAGTTTGTTGACTAATCTCTTTGTGGCCCGAAAGAATGTGTTTCGAGTTTCATTACCAAACTTGATCCGTGATCCTTCTTTATGTTCCAGTTAGGCGAGTGAGTTCATGATTAAATTTTAATGATTTTTCGTTTTAGGGCGTTCCATTGTGCAAACTCTTTCGACACAGGAACACCACCACACCACTGAGTGGAGCTGTTGCTTCTGGCAGATCGTAAAACTCTCACAGTTTTCCCCGCCCGGGTTTAATGATCGTCGAAGCTAATTAAAATATTTAGCCGAGACAGTGCAACGGAACTGGGCGGGGAATGCACACACAAATGAAATTCGTGTTAATTTTTTTACGGCCCCGATTTGCAATTTGCCATAATTAAGCATTAGCTTTTGTGGTGTGTCATAAATCGGGGAGGAATGTATACGTATGTGGGTTGGGGAAGGGGTAACCAGTCATTATCTTTGCACCCAGCGGCAGGTCAAGAGCGTTGGCGACCCAAGACGCCTATAAAAATTGAAAATTACCAACGCAACGAGATCGGCAGACACAGGGAGCTCAGATAGAGATACAGATGCACAGATACAGATACTTCTGCTGGCCCGAGAGCATCCCGAATCGCAGCCATGAATGAAATGCGTACTGAATGAAATGGGTCTGGGAAACAGACTCCCCCAGATCCCAGAATCCCAGATCCCGGCTCATCGCCATGGCAAATTCGAGCTAAAAGACACAAAAAACAATGTTCTCTTCCTCCCCATTACGATTATAGTTTTTGTTTAGCTGTGACATCGCCGGATTCCCGTGTCTTTCGTTCGCATTTCAATCGTCGCAGGAGCGGAGAACCGAATCGGGGTTCTGTCGCAGAGGCGTCGATAAAACCGCAGGGGGTCATAAATTTTTCGAGCTTCTTGCGTTTTGTTTGCCCGAAGTATCAATTGAAGTAGCCGCCGGCGAACCAGTCAAAGTTATCGCCAAAAAATAAAGAATGTTCCACAGGGAGATACAAGTTCTGTTCTTTATTTCAATATAACTCTTTTTTTGTTTCTGGTACCTTTTTTCAGATCTCTCCTTGTTTTTTATATTGGTATGTGTCATGTAAGAGAGGAGTTATCGGTGAAGGGTATTTGTGAAGGGGGTAATGACATGACAACTTGGGGTAAAGTGGTGACTTAAAATAACAAACAAAAGTTGTTGATCCCTTGATTAAAAATTGTTCTTAAAGTTATTTCCAAAATATTTTACCTTAATTTATTTGGAGTTAGTGCAAACAAAAGTAATGATTTTGTTGCACTATATAAATATATATACTCGTATGATTTTATATATTATAAAGTATATATAAATAAACTATAGGTCATTTTTGTGTCTACCCCATTTTATGTGTTCCATCTTTTCTGCTGCTATCGCACACGATTTAGTGTCGTCTTTGTTGCTTATCTGCGGTGGCTTTCTTTCAGCAGAAGACTCGTCTTCCGCCTGATCCACCTCTCTCCCCGTTGCAGTCTTCCCCGCTATGCCCCTCTCTGTCGCACTTGCGAGACGTCTGGGGAGCGTGTGTCATCGCAGTTAAGTGGCGCGGCAAAGAGTTAATCTCGTCGATAATTATAATTTATGGCTCGCTGTGGGTTCACCTTCTTCAAAAATACTCCAACTAAGTCTGGATGCAGTTCACTTTTTCTTCGTTTATTTCCCCTTATTTATTTGATTGCGTTTTGTTGCTCTTCTTTCGACTTCACAGTGCTTCATCATAATCACAATTTTAATTGGAGTTTCGGCACAAAGGGAAATCAACGCATTGAGTTGTTTTCTGTTTATTTTTTCGTTTTATTTCATTTTTTTCGCTGCCGTCGAACTGACAATATTTATGATTCAGATTGCTCATTGTAATTGATCATTGTCTGTGGCGATCATAAACTATGAGTTTCAGTGTACGGTGTGCGTTTATGGTGCGCCCAATTATGTCAATCACAGTTATGGGCTATTGCCACCACACTTTTCCGTTGACCACATTCGCCTCCCTCCTCCTCCCCCTCCCCCTGGTTGGTAACTCTCACCCAAATAGATACTGGGGCCCCATTATATCAATATCGTAATTTATCAAAATGATAAGGCCCGTGAGAGGCGGCGCAGATAGCGTCTCCGCGATGTCTGGAGGTGGAATGATCAATGGCTGCCCTGTGATCGCTGCTAGTCCTTAATCTCGGCCACATTAACTCAATTTGCGTGATAAATAATAAGCGCAGCTCAACAAATGTGCGCCCCGGCATTCGAGCGAGGCGATTTGCACAGCTCCAATCATAATTTATCAGTTTTACCCATCGCACAGTGGGCTAAAATGGCAGGAAAGACAAAAAAGTAGTTTAATAAGTACAAAAACTAATATCTGTGCAAGGTATTTATATTCTCTGTAAACCAATTAAATTTAAGAAAATTTTTTTGGGGGACTCTTTATTTTACTTTCTAATACAAATTTTAATTTAAGTTAAGAGTTCAACTCTAAGAGGGATTACGAACCACAGAGAATTCAAAGCGTGGACTGAACGAATCTATTTTAGGACCCACTTAACCACCTCCCATTTGACTGGCCCACCTCCTTTCCTTTCCGATTCGGAATTCACATCCACTTCCATTTCGACCCCGACATCCAACAGCCACCTCCTCCTGAGTGCGAACAGGCCCAGAGCACTTAATCATGCGAGTCTTGTTGCAGATTAACTCATTACTTAACACTTTTCCACCGACGAGAAGACGACGACTTCCACTTCGACTGACGGATGTTGATGAGCATAATTGTGTGGCCACAGCGTAAATCGGAAAGACCAGCTAAACGGGCGAGATGAAGACGACAACACCTACAAATCAGCAACAGACTGGATTTGTATTGCTACACTGAGGAAAACATTTCAATAAATACAATAATTTAATCAAAGAAATTTTAATCTTTAAAACTGCAATCGAATTGCATAGATACATTCAAAGAAATGCTTAAGGATTAGTTGTATATTTTTATGGATTATTTAATCAGATTACCCCATTTTTATTTTCTGTCAGTGTATCTCCCCTGTGGGGGCGGGCCCATCGACATCGATTTGGACTGCTGCGTGCGTTGGGGAAAATGTTTCAAAATTGATGTTCACCTTCTGCCATGTTTGCCAACCCTCCTTAAACGTCGGGGGGACTCCTCCTAATGACTCGGAATATGTTTTGTTGTATTTGTGGCATTAACATTCCTTTGCAGCCAAAAATGTCTTGCGGAACGTACATACGAGTATATATAGTAGTATTATATGTTGCACAAACAGGCTTAAGTAGAACGCATCCAAGTAAGTAGCTCGTTGTCGATGTCACTGGGAATTGATTGTGCGATGGTTTTTGGGATTGGCTGGCTTCGAGTGCATTTGCGGTTAATTATACTTACAAAGATTTTGTGTGGCATATCCGGAATTAATATTAATGATCTGCGATGAAAATCAGCCTCATTTGCATAAGGAACTGCACAACCGTCAATTGAGACGAATTGAGAAGAAGGAAGTGTCGAGATGATGATGTTATACGGGAAAGGAACAAAGTTCAACTGGTGATGGATTGTTATTTTATTTAAGCAAAAACCACAAAGATGTAAAAATATTTAAAAATATTTAAAAGCCATTACTTTCCTTCATAAAAAGCATTGCACATTTAAATATTGAAACACCGGAGAAACTTCCATTGATTTCCTAATAAATATATTAGCCCATAACATATTAGTATTCAGCGTTCATATTTCAGTACATTTCCCCAAAAATAAAATTATACGAAAACCCCAAAACTTGATATAATTATTTATTGCACCTTAATTTTTCAACATATTTATTCTTGGTAAGCGAAGCTATCGAAAATGCATTTCATTTATTATTTATTGAATTCATAACTCAGGCGAGTTTCTATTTCAAGAGCAGGATTTATGTGATTTCTAGGCAAAATTTACAAGCATTAATTGAACAAAACTCTCACGCACACACATCGCTATTTGAATGGCCATATGAAATGCGGCTGACAGACGTCAGAATATAGAAATGCGTAGATAACTACTGAGAAATCAAAGCGAACCACTCCCGAGTTTCCCCTTCCTCGTCGGGAGTATTTTATTTCGTTTGTTTTTCGGATTTTTCCGGCATCGCCTGCATTTTTCGCACCGTTCGGAGAGCCATAACCAATTATTTACCAACACTCTCATGTCCCAGAACATCCTGAACAATCGGAAACGCAGTCAAGGATGCGAGTGCAACCCCCTTTCACAGTTTCCATGGCCATTGCCGTAATTACAGACATTTTCGCCAACAAATGTGCTACAAATATAATGGCTTCTCTACCTGAATTGCGTATGCAAAATGCAAAATTTATGGCACGGCACCTTTGTGGAATCTTTTTCCGATTTTGTGGTTTTGTCCGACCGGTGATCATTCAAGCAAATGATTCCGATCTTTCCCACCCTCCAGTCCACGGAAATCATACCCCAGATCAACTTGGGCTATATGGTAAACGAGAAGATTGAGGAACTTTGGCCAGAGAAGCGCTCAGCGTTTGTAATCCTTTAATGGCCAACTATAAATGCATAAAGCTTAGGGGCCAACTGATAAATTTCCGCTCATTATTTCCTCTCTCTACGCTTAATCCATTGTGTTAGCCGATGACTAACAGCTCGCATTTGTTGTGGCAGCTAAATAAGGAACGAAAATAAAACGATGCTTTATTGAAAGACGTCTCTATCCAAAATAAACTTCGAGAAAAAAGATTACACGTTGTATAGATATAACTCAAGTGAATTTCTCAGGCCAAAAGGATATGATTCAGGATTTTGATGATTTAAAATTAAGTAATGGCTAATAGGAATTGTTGTTGTATCATAAAAATTGAATTTGGAAAGGGAATTAGTCTTGCCTTCCCACATATTTTTGTTGAGTATTGTTTAACCTACATCCCATATCCGAAGTTGGTCTTTTCTTCGATTAGCCATCAACGCATCTGTAAGATGCGCCGAAGAGTATCTTTTCTTGTTGACTTGCTAATGAAAGCAAATGCATATGATTAATTACAAGGGAGTCTCCGCTTGTGACAGCAACAACAAATGAGCATTTTTATGTTGTCCCAGCCCCTTGACTTCCCCGTCCATGGCCCTTCTTAAAAATAACATCAAAGCAAACAAAGGCTAGTGAAAATATGAACTGCAAACTGCAAGCGATTTGGGGATGCACAAGTCGAGAGGGAAAATTGGGAAGTGGCGGTGGAAAACCCAAGACTCTGATGAAAATCTTGGCGACAGTTGAAAAGTTGAACAGTTGTTGTTGTTGCTGTTGTTTCTTTTTGTTGCTGTTGTCCTGGTTGTTGTTTGTGTTATTATTGCCTTTGGGGAGATCGTCTCATTGGCATGGGCCAACTTGTTTCAGCCGCATCTTGGTCTTCATCTTCATCTGACGACTGTCTGGCTGACAGGCGACTCCACGTTTGACGTTTGACAGTCGACACTGTCCAGGAAACCTCAGGGGGAAGAGCCAAAGTGCAGGGTATTGCTGGGGATGAGAGCGTGAGATTTGTAATGAAATACAAACTATATGTTTTGGGAAAAATCCTTATAACATAATTCATAAAATAAAATCCTACAAATGCTTTCAAAACCAACTTGTTATCATCCGAAACAGTAGTTTAAAGTTTAAGCTTACTGAATTTTATAAATAGTTAAGTAGGAATAGCCATTAATCACCTGTCTAATTTATCCTTTCGATATGCCAATCAATTTCTACCGTGAGTCACGCTCCCATTCCCAGCGACTCGCAGACGAAACTTTTGCTTCCTCCTCAAATATTTTTTTCAGCGGCTGCCAAATTCCGATGGCGAGATGTCGAGAGATGGCGATGGTGAGATGGCAGCATGCAAATTGCGAATTGCAAGGGGGCCAACGCACAAATCGAGTTGTCGTAAAATTAGCACTTAATGCTTTAATTAATTACTGAGACGTGCGATGCGGGAATCGCTGAAGTTGTTGCCGATTGTCGTTGTTGTGGCTGATGACTGTTGTTGCCTGCTGTTGGTTGTTGGTTGTTGGCCGTTGTGTGCGCGGCATTTAATGCATTTCGCATTTATTTATGGCCATTGGATGCGCGTAACTCAACGATTCCCAACCCGTCCCTTTTCGCCCGATGTCTCATGTTCGGCCACGTCAAGTGTCAGGCCATTTCACCAGAAAGCCAGGCAACACAAAAATACAAAAGACGAAAATAACCCGCAATGCGAAAAGATATTCATTGGGCATCTCTCGCAGATATTTCACACTTTCACAAAAGGGCAAATCTTTCTGGCACCTCACTTCCCTGCCATTATCTTCTGGTGTTGGGTTTATGAATGGATTGTGTTTGGCAGCGACCAGTGGCGCATCCAGGAAACTCAAAGTTACCTGACATGAGAAGGGGTCACAATAACGATCTACCTCGAGTGGAAAACTTTAGATGCAATTTCAATGAATAAGTTCTTTAAAATCGAATAATTTTTTATTTCCCTAGTGGGTCCGCCTCTGGTAGCTTTGGCTTTAGTTGTTTTCTGGGCATCACAGGGTACGCAAAATATATTACGGTTGCAGTTTTATATTGTCCTGAGATAGTGTGTTGCATGTTGTCTTATCTTGTGACTTGAACAAGCTGCAATTTGGTTTGCAGAAAGTTTTTCCATGACCTAAATTTGAGCAAGGCTTTATCAAGCAAAAAAGTCACAAAAAGGTTATTTACTGTGAAACTGCGAACAATTTCGAAGCAAAGGTAAATCCTTCATGTCCCGAAATAACACAAATTCAAAGCAGTTCCTTGAATCGATCAATTAAAGAACGATTCAGACGGCGAAAGCCCATCCTCTGATGAAAGGTGCATCTCACTTCGCCTATCGGCGCAATTGTCACATGATTAATGCCGACGGGAGATATATACCTTTTGGAGCGGGGGCCACGCCCTTTTAGCCGTGACTTAATGAATGACCGCCTGAATGAATGATGGATGAATTGATAAAGGCAAATGGCGAAATTGTGTATTTGTTGGTGGCTATTGTGCGGTCCACTCATCTGCGATATGGAAAGCAGGTACCGTCTTATCTTGGCCCCGTCTTGACCCCAAACTTATTGTCAACATATTGTTATTGTGTGGTTGTGCGGATGCCGAGGCATGTGATTCATTCGTTTGCCACAGTAATGCCCTCAAAACACAATTTATCTGGCTTGGGGGATTTAGACATTGGCATGGGTTCTCGGCCAGACAGACAGACAGAGAGATGTGGAGATGCGAAGATACAAAACCGCATCCGCACCCACCGAAAATCCTTTTCGGGCACTTGACTCATTAGGCGGGTATTGATGCCGGGCCCACTGCATCATCATCATTATCATCATCATCATCATCGACATCATCGCCATCATCTTCCTCCTGGTCGGCGGTTGGATCTTCTGGTGTTTGCATGATTTGCATTAATTTGGCAAATGTTGTCGATACCGGACGCCGACGATAAGCGCTGACATGACCAGATCCATTTGGTCATTAATTAGCCCACCAGCTCCAGCTCCGGCTCCAGCTCCTTCCTCCTCCGGATTCTCGCTCTTGCCCACATGAAAGCCATGACATTGCATAATAAATTACCAATTCATTTCAGATTTCGCACGTTCTTCGGCCGCGGCTGCCGTTTCTCCTGTTTTGGTTACACATTTGATTTGCTTTCACAAAAACGAACGAAAAATTCGAACAGGGAAATCCGTTAAAGGTTCGCTGTTCAACAAGTAAAAGGCATTTCTCTCCATGTTGTATTAAAAAATCATCAGTTGATGTCTATTTAGTTTGCTAGAGTGTGTGGGAAAAAGGTGGAAATGTATATATTAATTTCAATGCAATTAGCGCTAAACTAGCATCGCAATACTGATTACAACTTCCATGCTAATGCAACTTCCATATTAGTTCTTCAATTCATTATTGTAATTTAAGTACAAGCTAGCCAATTAACAACGGTGAGGGTACCCATAAAAAACAAACTTTCCCACCCACAAAAAACGAACTTCCACATGACAATGAATATAAACGATCTGTACAACTTGGGCAATGAAATAAATGGTGCCCAATCGAATAAAACAAATTGTGATTCATTAGAATATTAAAAGGGAAGCGCAGTCACTGCTGACTATGTCAAGTTAATCGGGGCACAGAATACGAAACGAAGCCACAAGAACCGAAAATTTTGCTAATTAAAGTTAATATTGACAAATGATGGGGCGTTGGCGAATGGACAATGCCAAGATGTCATGTGGACCCCACTATTTCGCCCTCT